AATGCATTCCGTCGGGTTGCATTGTAAAATCTCAAACAATTCATTAACTTCATGTATTCGTTTAGGAGCCACCCTCAAAAAAGTGGTAAAGTTTCCATTTCTCCTTTAATTTTTTTCTCAGCAACAGTTACAGAGACTGGTGGTAAGTCTTTGAATAGGTTTTGCTGTATGCCCTTCCCGGTTTTGCAAATAATTTTTCAAAATTCCTAGCACAAAAGGGCACACCCCTCAATAGGGGTGCGAAAAAATGTTGATTTCGACGAAATTTGGTATCTGGTGGTTTTTGAATATAAAAATCACGAAAATTCGAAAAAAATAATTCCACTGCAATTCTTGGCCGGACAACGAAAATTGACAAAATTCCACGGAGTTTGTTGTGTAGGTACATACGGAACAAAATTGTTGAACAGTTTTTCTTAAGGTCATTTTTCAAACAAAAGTTACACTCATTTGCAAATTGGTCTTTCGGGTCAGAAAATGTTCTCCCGACAGTGGCATAACAAGTACAGTAAAGTCAATATTACATGTTCTGCTAAGGGTGTCTACCTACATTTCACAAAAATTTGTCAAATAAAAGATGATAATTTTATCACAGTGAGCATTAATAACTTCGACATCAATGAGGAAACAGTCACAGAATAAGAATAAGTAGGCCATCTTCTGTGGAAACAGACGAAAAAAATTCAACGCACAGTCCTTTTTCAAAAGCGAGATACATCGGCAGAAGAAATCCAAATTCCTCGTTTACCTATCACTAGATAACGACCAGATAACTGACTTTAACAGCCTAAGTACATGCTGATAATCCTAAGTAAGTTCCGGTATCTACCATTCAATATTATGTATGTCGTTTTTGAATTCTCCACCAACGAGCTACAATACCATCCTAACCATGGTCTAGTAAAATCAAAAAACAAGCCTGAATCTTTGGGACAAAATCATACCGTTGTCACTGCTGATCTTGCAATATACAGCACAGCACAAGAGATACCTAATGTGGAGTAACCCCCAAAATTTACAGGGAAAGGTACCTATTTGTACCTATATATTTTTCCAAAGAACTGAGATACATGGAGTTAATGAATTGTTTGAGATTTTACAATGCAACTCGGCGGAATGCATTTGTAAACGGCCTAAATAGCTAGTTTTGGTATTCGGAGAGAAATTTCTTAGTAAAGTAGAACCTCTTACGCATCGCTCCTTGTTGCGCGAACGCTGCTGACTATCCTTCCCTCTCCGTCTCACTCGCGACTCCCGACTCGGCGAGGTCGGTAGGTTTTTACTTAAATGACCGTAACTTTTTTATTATGAAAAATTCACGGTAATGTTATAGAAAATAAAATAATCACAATGCTTTGGAGCATCGAATGAGCTATAAATATTGGAAATCGATATCGTGAAATAAAAAGTTATGAGAGTTCAAAGTGCGCACTTTTCATCTGCTACACAAATTTTGGAAGTTGACGGTTATTTTTCTAAAAACTGTGCATAACAAGGTAGGTAAATATGAATGCTTTAGATTCTGCTATAAATGTACTTTCATTTTACAAAAGGAATTATTGATGTATATCGCTTAGTTGCTGAGAAAATAAATACTTTCGGTGGTCTAGTCGCGCGCGCGAAAATGAGTAAAGTTCAACTTTAGCGGCCTATAACTTTTGTCAGGACCACGGGAAAATGTCGTAAAGCGAGATTCTGAAGGTTCAAACATTTCTGAACAAAATGGTGTGGGTCCCAATTCTTTCTACTCCGAAGAAATTTTTTGAACGATTTCGCGGCTCTCTCCGCTGCACTATATACTACGTTTTACTGAACAGTGCTATTGCTACTACCTTACAGTAGTTCCTCCTAAATAACAATAGTACCTACATTATATATCAAGGTAGAGAAGTCTACTATTATTGCCTGAGCACCAAGATTACATCTCGAGGCGCTTGCGCCGAGGGGTGTAAGGTGCGAAGGCAATAATAGACTTCTCTACCGTGGTATATATACTATTTTTTTCACTACTAGCACTTGAAATCCTCTAAATTAACATATTATATTGATAAGAAAGTGAACGGTTGGACAGAATTGTTTGTTTCTTAATTTAACATGTCAATCAAGTACGTGGAAGTACAAGTCAAACAGGCCGTATTTTGTTCTGTCATTGAGATTTTTCAAAGAGTAATTTCGTTCGAATTTTTTCAAAATGTGATAATTTTAGGTATGTAATTTCTCTGGAAATTGCGAATGGTGGCAATTATTCGTTTTAGAGAACTTGTCTAAACGTTCATTGAGCGAAATTTCGGGTTGTGTTTTCTAAAAGTGACAGCGTGACAGTTCTCATTATTGACTACTAGTTAATAATAAAAAATTATTAACCACTTTGAACAAATGCCGAGAAAGCCTACTTTACAAGTGGAAAAAAGGTTAATAATCATGTCATCAGACGCTAGTAGTGAAAAAAATAGCTTTATCTGCCTATCCTTCCACATATTCAGATGTTTTTGACTGAAAAGTGTTACTGAAATGAAATGTTGGGATATGTTCCTTAAACTGCGAAACAAAAATACTATTTTGATTTTGCACATTTTTACTGGATGAAAGTTGAGCGTTTTGAAGGCGTTGTAATTGGAAATTTGTCTATCAAACAGGTCACTTTTAAGATTCACGTAGGGGTGCTAGCTGGTAGCATAAGCCAGACATGAAAACACTATTTTAGACCTTTAAACACTTTTGCTACATGAAAATACATCGTTTGAAAACGTTGTTGGGCATGTAAATGATCTTTCAAAAATGATCTTTTCAAATATGTGAGGCAACGAAAACGTGGTTTACGTAATTAGTACAAGGCAAAGAAATACTATTTTCACTTGACACTTTACAAAAAGGTCCGCTTTCAAATTTGAGTAGGGGTGCTGGTTTTCGAGGAAACCCTGACAAATAACTTGTATGAGGAAGAGATGAAAACACTAGTTTCAACAAGAAAAGCACCTTTTAAAGCATTCTTGTGCCTATCTAATTGGAAAATTCCTTTATTACTCCACTGTGTAAAGATGACCGTTTTCGAGGAAAATGTGGCAAATATCTAGTATGCAGTAGAGATGAAAACACTATTTTGATGTGAAAAATAATGCACTTTAAAGAAATGCTCGTGACGAATAACCATCAGTAGCTTGTTACTCAGTTAATCGCAGATAACAGGTTTATAACGAGCAATAGCGAAGCACAAAATCTAATCCGAGTCTAATCACTTCTATCTTAGGTCGTGGCCTATTTGTGTGTCAAATTTCAGCTACATAGCCCATAGGTCAACGCATTACTTAATAACTGTATTGGAACCGAGATTGGAACCTCTTGGGCAAAATGCTTTTTAAAAATACAGAAATTCACTTGTTAAACATCAACTAAAAAGCGTTCCCGCCCAAATGCACCCAATTCGCTTCTTGGAAATCGACCTAATAATGCGTTTCAACGTGCGTTCCTAACGAATCGGTGACACATTACAATGTTGACATCTCTGATCTCTTGGATGTGTTTAATAAAGTGCTCAATTGTGTATATACATATTCCATAGTCATTAAACTTCAACAACAATATGGAAAAATTGTTATCCAGTGCCACTACATTTTTAATTTTTATTCAGCTGAAATGAAACCAAAGTGCATGTATCGTCGCAGGTAAAAGCTGTTGATATTTCACTTCACATCAGCAAATTTCGATTCCTAAAGTACGCATCCTTAAAGTGCGCAACTTCACATAGACTTCGGATCATCACAGATTTAAATCTGGGTATCATTTACGAGTAAAAATTGACATACCGTTACAAACCGTTAGTGCAGAGGTCTTAAAGGGTGAGAAAGCCAGGTAAAAAAAATGTTGCCATTAGTTGAGACATCGGCAGCAACAAAATCCATGGAAACAATGAATATATAAATACAAAGCAAAGGAAGGATGCAAGACAATTCAAAGCATGCCTACCTCTACAAATTTCAAAAATGTAAAATCTTTACAAAATGGGTGTCCAGGGTTAAATAATTTATAAACGGTCTAAATCCTTTCCAAAAAAGGGAAGCTGTAAATTAAATATCTGAGGATAAAGTCATTTGTTTCGCCTTTATGCTATTACGTAAAGCTCTGCAGCAGACAATTTGCAAAAACAAAATACCTACACTATAATAAGTAAAATCTATTTACACTTTCTAATTTAAATGACCTTAGCCAGTGAGCATTAAATGGCCAGTAAAGTAAGGCCATTACGTAGATAGTAATTTATTCAACTATGAATTGAAGATGATGTGGTAGTGGTATTCCGTATTCCGAACCTGAGCTTGTGGTCTGTCTGTTCCGAATCACTATAGATACCCAACTACCAAAATACACACCCTTAATTTTTTTAAAGGAAGGTGAATTGGAGAAAATAACGCGCGAAAGTTGTTAGGGAAAGCGTTAGATTTCCATATTTGCGGTAAAAACCAGCAACAGTAAGGTACGCTAATGAGATCTAACGACTATAAGTATTAATACCGTATGTCTACAAATTCTCATTTTGCTTCTTACGCGCCATTAACTTTGCGGTTGCATTACTCCGCCAAGACATGCACGTGGTCATCCGACAACTTCCACTTTCTTGCACCGCACAGGTACCTCAAGAATTCAGATACCTATATCAACTAAGTGATTATGCTTCATTGTCCTTAAGCCATCAAAAATTCTGATAAGCCACATTAGTGACAAGGTGATTAATTCGCGATAGCGCGATGATATTATCAATTCAAAAATTCACAGGTAAACTTTTAATTGCACAATTTTCCCAAGCGAAGGACGTCACAATATCAACTTAAATTAGATTTACGTGTAGTTTACCGTACAAAATCGCAAAAGCGGATAAAGGTACACTGAACTACGTAATTGAATCAATTAAATAATGAAAAAAATTGCAGTTTTCTTTTGAAATGAACGCAATTTTTTACATACCATTACGCATCACTTAACATCAGAAAATGTGCTAAACTTACCTCAGAAGGTGGAAAGTCGAAGTATTCCGCAATTTTTTGATAAAGTTCTTTTACATTAGAGAATCCTGAAATGAGCCCTGTGGGACTCCCGTGCGCCAATTGACAATAAAAAACGAGTTGCGGCCGTGATAGCGTGGAATTTTCATTTTTTGAGATATTGTTATTTTCGTAATGATCAGTCGGTGGTGCGGCGGCTTTCAGGCGATTTTTTTTAAACATTTTGTCGGATGATCGCACAATGTACGTCAGTCATTCACTACACAATATTATAGATAAACTATTGGAAACGTTCACATTTCTATGCCAAAAAAAAAATATTATCACTTATCACAATCGTTAAGTACTTGATAACGTATCCTAGATATCGCTCTTTTTTTAAACTGGTAACCCGTTCGGTTAATCTTACCTTTACTACGATTTATAGCGCACTGGAGGTAGGCGCTCTAAAGTGGAAAGCAGTTTTGATACCAACAAATTGTTAATTATATGGAAAGAGGTATTTGTTGACATAAAATTACATTAATTACCGCAAAATTCTCGGAGAATTAAAATGCTATTAGAATTCATTATTTCATACAAAAATTAACTTTATTAATTACATTACAGTCATCGTACACTATCATACATTTTCTACATTTTTGTGTTTTATATATGACAAAAATACATTATATATCATTGTTACCCCATTTATATATAAAACTTGGTACTTAACAGGTAAGTAATAAAAATTGATGAATTGCGTCGGAGGCCAAATGCACCAGTCGAACTGAAAACAAAAAACGCAAGTTAGGAGGATAGATAGGCAATTGACAGTACACGGCTGTATGCTACAAAAGTAGCAAATGTAATGTCCTGACAACCGCTGAAGTTGTCCCACAATGGGGAGGTCATAGGCACGAAGACAAGTCATGCTATGCAATTATATGCGGAAGTAAATCACAGATCTGTCACCCACGTCAAAATAATGAGTAGATGTACATAGGGGTTGTTACGAACAGCTTCGCCAAAACCTACCCTCTTTATCGTTGTTGTACAATCACTGGTTGCAATAGCAATTTTACCATTGGTCACTGTAACCCCCTGTACATTCAAAACTTAATTTTTTTTATGAACGTAGTAGGTTTAGATAAGGCCTACCACAAAATGGAAATGACTTGTAAATTTGCATTACTACCTATATTCTTCTATATATGTATTTGGAAAATATTATAAAAAAATGTATAAATATACTGGAAGCAACATCAAAGTCCCTTTTCACAAAAAAATTAAAAATCGCCTTATATTAAACAAATCCCATTAGCTTATTCTACTTAAACAGTTTTGAAAGTTGCTTCAATCTTCAATAGAAAAAAGTTATTAGACATCATAATTCAGTAACGCCTCCTCGAGTTTAACCATTTCCAACCAAAATCTGTTGGTGTATATGGCGTTCTAATAAAATTTGAGCTCGAGAGAAACTTCAAAAGAAAGTGTCTACTTTGGCTCACTGTGAACAGCACCTTCTCAGTCACTTATTGCTCTAGGTTGAAAGGTTATAACTCAGTGTAAATGCAAACTATATTTACTACAGGGTGGCGCAAAAATAATCACTTACATAAATTTCACTACCATATAGAAGGCGACGGTCACTGATCCGCTACCACCAATATTACGCAATTCAAATTTGCGCCACCCAGTATATGTATTACAAAAATGTCCAAGCGAACCCTTTTGTATATGTGGGCAATTGGGGAAAAGGTACCAGTGAAAAGATTGCATGTGTATGTAATATGTTGTTAAGGGTCAAAGTTGATGTGATAGCGAACACAGGTGCGATTTGCGAAGCAGTTTACATGCGAATGTAACCCACTGGGTTTTTATTGCCACTGGGTAAAAACCGTAGTATGCCCTTAGGCAATAAACAAGGTCGTGTGACCGATGACAGCGGATTTTTCCGCTTTTTCCTCCCGCTTTTAGTACCATCGGCACAACTACCACAAAAAAGTACGTTACCACATCCGCCTGGCTAATTAATATCAAATGAAACATTTTTTCCAAATAAAGTTCAAACGTTCTTAATTTTTTTCTAGGCAATCGGATGAATTTGTAACGGGCTCAGGCATTAAGCATTCGATTCGATAAAATGTTTAGAACTGCAGTTTAATTGCATCATGTAGGCGTAAACAAAACTGGATTCTGATAAAATGATGAAGTGCATATTTTGTAACCCACCCATGGAATGAACTTGCACTTTCTGTACTATTCACCACAAACAATGTCGGGAATGTCATGTCAATGCGCATGATCGGTATTCTACCGTTGCCTATCTCTCTCACATATGTTGACACAGATTAGGGGGCTGTAGGCTATATGGAATATATATACCGGGTGAATATTTAAAAACCGAACATAGGCAATTAACATGGGAAAAACGTTTTTTGCTTCCCATGTTAACTTACTGCTGCGTAATTAACAACTTTAGGGGTGGGGCCACGTCATGTGGGGTCCGCGACATCCGGACGCCTTTCCCGAACGTGGTTTGCTAACGTGGTGATTTTTCAGTTTTTTCCTATCTTCTACAGATTTGGTCCGACTGTTTTCAACTTTGAAACTGGTGTCGGCGGTAAATGCGCACAACTACTGCGTGACGGAATTTTGTTTTTATCACTAAGGGCGAAATGAACCACCTTTTGCAAGGCGCGCGTCTTTGAGGGGTAGGCGCGGTAGGCGACTTCGAGCGCCCTAAAGTTACCTTCCGCGGCGAATTTTGTCATGCGGTTTAAAGTTAGTTTAAGCTCGAATCGCACGTTCTCTCTTTCTCGTGTCTCCAATAGAAGCTCGAGCTATGAAGTGGGACAAAGGAAATGTTGTAACCCCAGACAAGATTTGACTGATGGTGGAGTCAAAACGTCATTGTACGAGTATAATAACGATCTATAAAAATCTATATTTTAAGTGTAAGGGTGGTTCAAATTCGTTGCTCACTGGGATCTCCGTGACGGTAATAGATACGGTTAAATGGGGGCACAGTTTCCCCTTTGTGTCTAAGAAACGCATTTGAAACTTTTGAAAAATTTGGAAATTAACTGAGATATCACCAAAAAATTGAAAAAGTCAAATTTCGTTTTTATTTTTCCTAACATAAACAGTCCAACATAGACGGTTCCCGTTAGCACATTCTAGGAGCACTTTTCTTCAGAGAATCTAAATGCGTTATCAGAATTTCCATAACATGCTAGATGTAGAAGCTACTACATTCATATTTCTTATGGATGCCACATTGGATTTTTACGGAAAGATAGACGGCAAAAATGAAAAAAGAAAAGTCATTTGAATGCATCGTCATAAAAAAATTGCCCCATTTAAGTACCTATCCTATATCTCTTACCGTTATGAAGATCCCAATGGTGAGCCACGAATTTGAGCCACCCTGTACAGGGTGGCCAATTAAGAATGTGAGGTACTGTATCTGAGAATCTATCCATCGTAGAGGCTTGCGGTAAAAAATTTATTACTAAAACGGCCACGAGCAAAACCTGGAAAATATATTTAAGTTTCTGAAATGGCCGCTAGGGGGCGTAACTGCAGTCTGGAATCTAAAAGTGATTTTTCTGTGAAATCCGCTATATTAACCTAACAAAAAAGTGTCCGGTCTTTGAAGTTGACGATAATCTGAACAATTTTTCCTGTATCTCTAAAAATGAAGTGGTGGGGGGGTATTCAAAGATTTCTGTAAAGAACACCCTGTATCTTCGAAACGGCTGAGTCGATTTAAACAAAGTCGGGTTAGTTCAAAAGAGCTACTCTTCACCTACAAATATTATACTATTTGAAGTTTTGTTAGTTTCATATATCACCGCTTGAAGGCTTTTTTCGACATTCCGACAGAAATTATGATTATGAGATGCGGTTTTCGCGAGCTTGTTTAGGCATCATTTAGCTACTTTTTTATGAAAAAAAAAATCAAACCAACGCATTTAATATTTTTGAGAAAATTAACCATTTCTGTCGGAATGTCTAAAAAAGCCCTCAAGCGGCGATATGTGAAACTAACAAAACTTCAAATATTATAATATTTGTAGCCGGAATAACTCTTTTCAATTAACCCGAGTTTGTTAAAATCGGCTCAATCGTTTCGAAGATACAGGGTGTTCTTTACGAAAACCTTTGAATACCCCCCACCACTTCATTTTTAGAGATACAGGAAAAATTGTCAAACAAAAATTGTTCAGATTATCGTCAACTTCAAAGACTGGACAATTTTTGTTAGGTTAATATAGCGGGATTCACAGAAAAATCACTTTTTTAGATTCCAGATTGCAGTTACGCCCCCTAGCGGCCATTGCAGAAACTTAAAAATATTTTCCAGGTTTTTCTCGTGGCCGTTTTAGTAATAAATTTTTTTACCGCAACGATGGACAGGTTCCCAGATACAGTACCTCGCATTCTTATTTGGTCACCCTGTACAAGAGAACATACACACCTTTAATAAATAAAACATGGAAACCTGTTGTCATGGGGCCCCCCCCCCCCCCGTGCGTTTTTGTCACATAACCTACGAACATGAAAAAGTCTTGTATTTGATTGGACAACGGAGTAATGACGTCATAATACGTCACCTCAAACGACTGGTACATCGCGATCACAATTTGTCCACCTCTATATTATAGTATAGTACCTATTATCGATAAATGGATAAGAATTCTTTTATGTAGTCATTGGGCTCGTTTTTTGTTGTTATGATGCAATCTTGTGACATACCTATCCAAAATGAACTTTACTTTCAAGCATAAACATGCCTTTCTGACCACAAACTTATGCTAATGAACGCAATATATTTCAATTTACGCTAATCCGACTTACTGTCATCTTTCAACATTGAATACCTACCGCATAAATATCTACAAATTTTTCTTTAAGTTCGTCTGTACCGCTTCTCAAAGATTTGCCTTCCAGCGCCGAAACTCCATAAATAAAAACAGCAATGCATACGGGCGACATTACGATCTGATCCCACAAAATTTTCTGCGTAATCACTTTTAACGTTCTCTGCGGGAGCGCTTTATCCAGCCACATATAAAAATAGTGATGTAAAGGACCAAACGCCAACCCGGTTATAAACATACGACCTACAAAGTAATATTACCTTTACTATACAGCAAAAAAGAGAGTTACCAACTCGCCACCAATCGTAGCGTTCCGGTATTAACTTCCTGCGATACTCGATTTCTTGTTCCATTAAATCACCCGCGACCATAAGCGCACCGGAAGTCCAAGTATTTGTAAACAATAAATGTTTTCCAAATGCATTCTTTATACTTATATGAACTGACCTTCTCGTTGAGCCTCGAACAGCATAAATGTAATTTCTTATTGGAAATAACAGTTTTTTACGCCACATTTTCCTCTCAGCAGTAACATAAATTCTAGCAAACTAGCGTCACTCAGTGTAAATAAAA